GCTGGACAAAGTTCAGCCCCTTCACTCAATTGTTTACTACAATGTTTGTATAACTTTGTTGTGCTATCCGAACACATTACCGCGTAAGGATTATTAGAAATATTCATGAACAGATAAAGAACCTCTTTCTCCCTATTTCCATCCCTAGAACTACCTACATGAAAACTGCCAACTTAATACATGTTATAAACACCAGCCTTCAAAATTAAGATTGCGCACAATTGATTAATTTAAAAAGGCGCGCCGACTCAGTGGTAGAACAGTAGACACGTAACTAGGAGGTCCCGGATACGACAACAAGTCCATGCGCTCGTGCCTTTTGGTAAGGCATCAATCCTCACTCGTAGAGGACTGAAAGCCGCTGGTCCACGTATTGTTTACTTACAAGCATTTAAATGCTTTCTTAGCAGTCAGACAAGCCTCAAACACTATAAACATAATGTAATAGGGCGGTACTGCGCATGTCACAAAACCTCTCAATGAAAATAGCGAACCAATGTTGCGAATAGTTAACCAGGATTTTTTGTTTGAATGATTGAATTTATTCTCAATTGTTTCAGTTATTAACCATACACAGAAGGAAAGTAATAATAATAATAATAGCTCGTTCTTATATAGCGCTTTTCAGGACCGAAGACCCTCTCAAAGCGCTTTACAGATAAGTATATTATTACCCCGGTCATTTGATTCAGGCTTTCCTGCACACAATGTATGCACATTCTCCACTGAACATGATCGACTTTTACACAATGATTGATATTCCGAACATAAGTTTATGTTTTGCAGTTTGTATAAGTTACATTTAAAGCTTATCTGCCATAGTTTACAGGACGGATTAGACCGCCCTACAAGGTCACTGGACAGGTGGTTTTCTTATCAACTCAGCTCTCAGTTAACATAAGAAAAAGAGGATCATGGGGGACCAATGGTCACCGATTAGGCATTGTTTGTTGTATAGAGGGCGCAAGTAGCTACAAGTAGTGCAGTGGGCCTTTAAGTTACATTTAACGACATTTATAATAGTATCATTTCCATAAAATGATACTACTTTGTGAATAAAGACATTATATATTTTATATTTAATTTCAAATATTATACATTTTATTTTAATTCCACATTCAAACAATCGAGAGATAATTCTCGCAGAAATAAAGCAGTTACTGGTGATAAACATTAAAACGAAGAGCCTGCCCCCTGCATTTATTTTATATATCGCATTACTTTAAAAAGGAGGGGGAGGTGAAAGATGAAAATGCTAACATAAAGTGCAGTCATCTTTGTTAGGTTGTTATGCTCTAATTGTACTTGTTTATATTAAAAGCGGAATTGGCTCATGAGGTGAAGAGTTAAGTAATTAGTCGCACATATTTACTATGAATAAATTGATTTAGTGGTCATTCAGTAAAAGTATTATGCAAATATTTATAATGGCCTTAAAAATACGCTCAGCTTATTACAGAAAAAGTTATTCCTCCATACAAAATTCTGTCACCTGTGTTAATGGAACATGTCGAACTGAAATTATATATAATTATGCATAAAGAACGTACTTAGCATCTGTACTTAACATAACGAATTTATCACTCACTACTTATAACCTTTTTTGGTGTTACGTTTTCCTTCGCAAAAAGGGCATATTTTCTGTATATTACTATTGATTTAAAATAAAACAATTATTCAACTTCTCGTGCTTTGTTTGTGTGTTGATTTGTATATGTGGTGATATATCGTTAGTATCCTTTGACTCTGACCTAAAGAAGGGTGACAGAGTCTACATTTATACATAATCAATGCCAATTTTATTAAGCTATCAGAATACAGAAATTAACCAGATTGCCCATTGTTTATTAAAGCGTATTAACTAATCAAGGCACAACCACAAGTTGACAAACTTTGTAAAACTAGTTCATATACCTTTTGGTTGCTCAATGTCACACTCACCTACCCCGTACAATTCCCATATAATATGGAGATAAAAACACACACCCTCAAATAAAATCAATATCATTGTGTAAATGAATCATTCATTTTAACTTCAAGACTGGATAAATTTTAGTGATATATACAGCATGCAAACCACGATATTTGGCGCTACTTACATTACAATAGAACCAAACAAAATAGCTATAGAAAAACATTTCCATTTATAAATGATTGTAACAGCATAACGATGCAAACAATACAAATCTACTACTTCAAATATGCACTTAACCTTTAAACAAATCCATTATTTCCCCTACAGAAAACTACTTCCTCTAGTTTATATAAACTGAACTATTATCCATTTTCCATACAAACAAGGTATCCTCTGATAGTAACTATTACTCAACTGATGAATTAACTTCTATTTTTCAAAAAAAACAAAACATAAATTTAGTTTACTTCACGTAAATGCTAGAAGTTTAAGCAACATGTTTAATTCTCTGCAAACATTGTTGCATGCCCTACATAGTATTCCCTTTTCTACCAAAGGTGTCACTGAAACTTGGTTTAATAACACTTCGCCTAATTTTATCTTGCAAAATGATACAGTGATCAAACTAGATCGCGGAGAAATAAGAGGAGGGGGTGTCGCATTTCTCATGGATAACAAAACAATTCTACAATCGATACACACAAGAAATAAACTGTATAAGGATTATTAAACGAAATCTACTAATCACGACAAAATCAAATATAAAACATACCGATATATATTGAATAACATTACTCGAAATTCTCGAAAAAGTACTATTTCGACAAACTTGTATAGAGTGAAATCAAATATGAAATCTACCTGGGGGGGGGGGGGGGATTGAGGATTTTATTGCAAAGAAAATTAAAACAATGCCCAATTATACTTTAACAATATATGATACAGTTATAAATCAGAAGATGTAGCCGATACCTTTAATTCCTATGTTGTAAACATAGGACCAATTTAGCAAATAAACTTAATACACCGAACGAAAATTTTACTACATTTCTTTCTGAACCTTCAAATTCATCACTGCTTATCAATCCCGCTGATCCTAATGAAATAACCGAAATATCAAAAAGTATAACATGAAGTAACTAACATGTCACGATATATTTAGTGCTTTCCTTTTTAAATACACCATACACTTTATCGCTTATCACTTAACTCCCATTATTAATCTATCAGTTAATACCGGGAAATGTTCCGAGTCCTTAATAATTGCTAGAGTTACAGGGATGGATCCAGGGGGGGGGGAGGGGACACAGGGGACACGTGCCCCCCTCCGGCCCCAAAAAGGGGTTAAAATCAACCCAAATTCGCCAAAAATGTACTTACAAACAGGGACGTGCCCCCCCCCCCCCCCTGCGGTCAAAAAATAAAATAAAATAAAATTAATGCGCACTGAGCAAATTTGCAGCCGGTGCAATTTCAAATATTCGGGTGCAAAAAAGAAGAAAAAAAAGTGCTCTTACCCCCCCCCCCCCCCCCCCCCCCCCCCCCGCTTATTCAGCGGCTAGCTGAGTCGTTACGATTTGTGGGGGACCAAAACAAATATATATATATATATGTCCTCTTATCCCCCGTGTGCCCCCGTGTGCCCCCGTGTGTCCCCCGGGAAGAAATTCCTGGATCCACCCTGGGTTAATTCTGTTTTTAAAAAGGGCAATCCTCACGAATCAAAAAATGTATGTAGTGTATTATGATGTTTTGTTTCTTTTAATTTCCTGCCTTCAAAATGTGGAGTACCAACAGGTTCAATATTAGAACTTTTGCTTTTTCTATTATACATTAATGATTTAACCAATACAACACCTTTGTTGTCATTTGTGCTATTTGCAGATGAGACGAACATCAGCTGTTCACATTATAATGTTAACACTTTAGTAAATACATTTAAAATGAGTTACCAAAATTATCTCTATGGTTTCAATGCAACACGTTATCCATTAATATAAGATACAGCAAATTTCATGTATTTCAAGTACGCAAATGCTAATGTCATTGACTTTGCTTACAACATAATTATAGATAATGTCCCACTCGAAAGAAAGAGAACAACAACATTTTGGGGTGTCATTATCGATGAAAATCTAAATTGGAATGAACTTATACGTCATTAACTACTTCTATTTATAAAAATGCTGGCTGTACGGTTCTGCTTAATAAATTTGTTTTCTTGAGTTTCGTATAGGCTGTCGTATTTTCAAGCAATCTGCTAACAATGACAGTTCTTCTTCCGCAAATAATGTTATGATGTTCGATGACATTGTGTATTTATGACAGTTGATCATTTCATTTTTGAAAATAACAATTGTTATATATTTTTGCCTACGTATGAGTCATTGACAGAAAAATACTAATTGTACTTCGTATTATTGTTGTTAACAAAAAAACGTGTACTTACATCAATGCAGAAGAAAAGAAAATCAAATTAAATCAAACAATACAACATCATTTCTCAATTTGCAAATTTAGAAAAAGATAACTGTCTGCCGATACAAAATATCTTCAACTACCTGCCGAAAAATAATATCACGCTTCTTAAATATCTTTAGTACAGATATAATGTTCTTTGTTTTTCAATCCTGATTCAAAGAAAACAAACCTATCGCATTTTCTTCTTTTATTGGATGGTTGTAAAATTATGGTGTCTTATTCTACTGTCTTAACGATTAGCTACAAGTTCTTGATTCATCCATTAACAGTGTCAAATTATTTGAACAACCGTGCTCACGATGTAACAGCACTATGTTTATGATACATATGGGTACAAAGTATGGACGTTAGAAGGTCACTCGGTGGTGTAAAAATAATGTACATTTCATGTCCAACTATGGATAGAACCGAATAACAATGCAGTATCAATTTCAGTCCGTAGTAATGGCCTTTCATTGTAAACCAATAGTTAAACAATATTTAAAACTATCGGAAAATTGCGATGAAACGAGCTCTGATTGGCTATCTAAGGTAACGGTAAATTACTCATTTACTCTTTACTCATCTGCGCATGCTAGAAGCCACATACATTCAGTTGACCGATCCTCTTCTATGCAGACAGAAAGAATTTGTTCGGACGCTCTTATTATTTTAGCGATTATCCCGTAATTACCGGCTGGCCAGAAGCATATTTTACCGTTACCTAAGACAGCAAATAAGAGCTCGTTATATTTTGCGCGTTGTAACTTTTAGTTTCCGTTTATATTGTTCGATTTCTGTTTTCTGTTTATTCTTGCATTTTACTCTGATGAGTGTAAGACGAAAAGTTTCAGTATGACTCCTTTTAACGCGATTTTCCGATGTTGTAATACCAATCATCTTTTCATTAAAACATGTATTGGTATGAAATGTACATTTCTGAAATAAAGATATGTTAAGCTGTAATAAAAGACTTAATTATAAGATGTATTAAGCTGTAATAAAAGACTTAAAAAGTCAACAGTATATCTTACAATATTCAGTAATATTAAGCCAAATATGTGTTGTTATCACAGTGAATATATCTTAGCCTTTGCGGTTGTAGGCGTACGTGACATTTTTGTTTAGAAGTTGTGCCTAATTGGCTAACTTGTTCTTCCTCGTTACTCTTTTCTCTTCTTCTAATTCGATCTCATGGCGCAACTCAAATATGCGATCACCATCTTTGACGCATTTGTGCAACAGTTTGAGGAGATTCTCTTGGTACACAGGTTCCAAATCCTTCTTCTCGTTCGTGATATTGGCGACTTCATAGACATCAACTATCCCAGCCATCCTGAGCGCAAGGCGCATATTGTCGAGTTGTTCTGGAGTAGCATCATCCACGTGAGTGATTACGGCAAGCGGGAAACGTCCTATAAATTACAAATGAAGACGAAATCATGTTGATTGTTGATTTATGAACGTAAAACAACAAAAATGTTAATGGCGTAGTGGATAATGAAGTCGGAAAATTCCAAAAGGTTCAAAACGATCCATCGTCAATACAGTAAGGAAACACTGCTTAAAACTATTTTTCTGAGGTAATAGGAGCACAGAAAGTATTTTTTTTTATTAAAAAATAATGTTCCATTAATTAATAATTTGTATCAGTATTTTCGTACTGCTAATGTTATATATGTCAGTAGACTATCACGTTATTAGGGATTATCTTCCCATTTGTCTTGTGCAAAGCATCTAATCTCATTTAGGCAAGACTAAAACATTATGTCCTGGATAACAAGTTATGTTAGGTCCTGTAAAATTAATTATAAAGAAACTCCTATGCCGCACGTTACAGTATCATTACTGATTCAGCCCATTTGAAATTCCCATTAGAAGAGTGATGACAACTATAAACCATTCAAAACCTTCGTATGTTTTATTCGATTTCATTCAAGCTCTATGCTTCTTTCATTTCTGCTTTATTTCATAATAATTAAGGGGGTTTAAATTTCATTAAATTATGAACCTTATAGCCCACATAGTTTTAATGAAACAGAGAGTAAAAACAATATTTAGACTCATTGTTTATCTGACTGAATACTGGTTCGTGGGAAAGATTTAGTCCCAAAGCAGCTCCTTTATATATTTTGTATGTAAATGTTCAGAAGAGAATAAATGAAGTTTAAATCACTGTCAGAGTGTTTCGAAATATATTAGGGGCCAATATGAGTTTGGTTTTGACATGCATGTTGTATTTGCTATTTCACAACCCTTCCACTTTTGTCACTTTCAGGACTCCTTTAAAAATCCTTAAGAAATCCCAAACACAAGTTTGCTCCTAGTTACGTTGATAGAGATTCTACCAATCTTAACATTTGATTGACAATCTATTGTTCGGACATGGCTCAGTCATCAAGTTGTGAAAGTAACTTCCGTTAACTTTTATTTGGCATTCTACATGTTCCTTCGGGTTTCACTCTTACAAGGTTCGGGTAATTACAAGTGGTTTTCCTCTTGTTTCCAATGACCACTTTCCTTTGGTAGAATTAAACTTAAGAAAGTTCATGTAACAGTTTAAAACACAATTAATCAAATAAATTACCTTGCCACTTCAAAAGACGTTCCACGAATTTCCCGATAATTGTATGGACTGCTGTAACGCTCCTAGCACTGTGCAGAACAAATGTTTGAAAAAATGTCAAAAATTCAGTAGAATATTAAGCAGTTTCATAAATGTTTTTTTTTTCAAGCATAAAGGTTAACACCTTTCTTACTTTTTAAATTAACCAGTTTCGTAATGTAATCAAATTTAATGCAAGCATCTTTTTGTAATGGCTCGTTAGAAATGATTTCAATCACCTGTGACGAATTATTATATGTCAATGTTCAGAATGCAAATCGAATATATTCCGTGTTGTTAGGTAGGACAAGCTATGATGTTTGTCCTATCTAGTAAACATTAATATATGCGGTGTATGCTGACCCTAATCTCTCTTATAATTAATTTCATAATGTTTTTCTTACATCATGTAATAATTATTTACCTTTACAAATGGTAACTATTAAAAAGAAACGTGTTTTCAGGTAAGGAGATACTTTCACCGACATACATCGCAAAGCCTTGACTGGTATTGCAAGGGGTTTAGGCTGCGCATGTGCAAGCCGAGAAGTCTGTTCAATATACCGAACTGGCCTTGCAAGAAAATGCATAAACACCGCCAGTAGCGTACGCAGGATTTGTTCAAGGGGGGGGGGGGGGGGGGGGGGGGGGGGGGGAGGGGGGGAGGGTTAACATTTTTTAATCGGGCCGAAAATTTTGCAACGACTCAGCCAGCCGCTGAATTAACGGGGGGGGGGGGTAAGAGGACAATTTTTTTTTTTTTTTTGGTCTCGAAATTTCAAAATTTGACATTTGTTCCGTTTGGGGGAGGGGGTAAGGTCAACTTGTTTAGGTCAGTCATTAGCATAATTGTTTTTTTCACAAAGGGGGGAGGGGGGGGGGTCTCCAAAATACACACATAACAAAAACTGAAGGGGGGGTTCTTCAAAAACTATGCAAAATAGATTTTTGTTCTTCTTCTTTCTTTTCCTTCCTTTTATTGTTTGGTTAATATTCACACGTGAATGATACGCGGCGTTAACATCTGAAACAACAACAACGCAATAAGTCATGCAATACACTACAACACTTGTCGTTGTATCTATACATATATAAGCTGTCATCAAGTCAAATGAAATCAACCATATTTAAGAACTAGTTATTTTGACACCTTTTCCCCAATGCCCTTAAATGGCTGGTATTTGGCAATACTATAGGCCTGTTCAATTCACACCTCGAGATTCAACAACTTAGTTGTGTTGATAAAAACCTGATAGGGAGCAGCTAACAATAGTTGATTTCATTTTCTTAACAGGAAATAGATTTTCCCCAAAATCACAATCAAGATTCGGGATACTCACCTAAAAACAAGAACAGTGCAGTATATCTTCTTTGTTTCATCCACCTCCAAGTCATCTGGACGTGATGATTTACCCCACTCTACTTCACTAGCAAACGAGCGCTTTCCCTCTGTTTGAAGAAACCAGATAATCATGTAAATGTTTAACAATTTATATTTTATCCCCCACTTTTTTTTAAGGGGAATTCCACCACGATATGATGTTGATTGTCATGGAAGCAGATTTATAAGAGAAACAGGTGAGTGACAGTTTAAGCAAAAACCGACTGAAAACAAAAATTGTGCATTTTCAAAGGTGCGATCGATCAGAAAACAATTGGCAAATCTTTGACGAATTTTTTGAGATTCTTTCCCATATGCCCTGTACTAAATCAAATCCACAAATATTTGTTCCCTTAAATAAAATGTTCAACCATACATGCATCCTAGATATAATTATTGCAACATGTTTTATACAACATCTGAATGAAGCAAATCTATTCCGTTATCATTAACTAAGAAAATGACATTTATACTAAAAACAATGTAGTATGAAGCTAATTGGAGAGGAACTCGAGGGAAACGTCACAGTGATGCCAATTTAAGTTTCACGGATGACAACTTTAACGATCCATAACTTTCTGTTTTTCAAACGGATATTGCTTAAATTTCCAATCATTTGTTTCTCTCATTGTTCTCCTTTAATGAAAACCGAGTTCATATCAGGGTGGACTTCCCCTTTAATTTATCACCAACACTCATGATGTGGAGACCGTAGACAGAATATGAAAAAGGTTCCGCGAGAATGAAGGTCCCCAAGACCGAATGTCCGCGAGATTGCACGTGTAAATAATATGGTGCAAGCTATCTATCTTGTGTCATAAACCGACCGGCATGCGCGCACACTTCATTCCTTAAGAATCAATAAATATGTTTTATGTTACTTTATTAAGTTAAATTTATTATTTGCATAGGTCACATTTGCTCTCCGGTTAGGATACGGCGGCCGTAGGCCCCCGAGATCAAGAGATACCTGTGGCGGCTGCAGAGAATTTGCGGTGGCCTCAGGGTCACCCTAGGGTATATCCCTAGCTTTACATGCCGTACGGGTCGCCATGGGACTATAACGCGGAGTTATAACTTTTTCATTGGTAAGTTCGCCATAGCAATTATACAATTAGACACACCGTAGCCATGCCATAGAGCGGTTCCGCGGCAACCATACGCCGGGCGTACGATAGCATTGCGGCTACCTCGCATCTGCCTTGGTATTTTTAAGGGACGCCCTAAGGCGACCGTGCGTCATCACTTCATGGGCTGTACGGCAACCGCTGATTTCTTGTCAGCACAAATTCAAAATACGCAGTGGGGCTACCCTAACTCAATATGTCTGCTACCGTATGTGACTGTAGGAATGCTGCGGCGGCCCTATACTTGCTATCGGCCTGAGATATTTTAGACCCCACGGCCGCCGCGTCAAATGTGACCTAGGCATAAGTCTACTCTATCAGAAATTCAGTTGCCGTGTTTTTCCCACCCACCAGAGGGGCAGAAGATAACCTACATTATGAGTAATTGGTATTAAATATATGCAATATACGACATGACTAGTCTAAAAACCAAGCAATTGTATTTATTCAAGTGGTAACATGTAGGGTAATAATAAGTTCGAAAAGAGACACGTCGCGTACTCGCAAAAGCATGAATATTCGTTATTTACCGGCATGTACACAAAATAAGTGTCAACCGTACACTTCGGAGATTAGATAACTAGTATCTACGAAAGTACTCAAAATGCGATAACGTGATTATGAGAAAATATACGAGAAAAATGTATAAACATACATATGTATCAATCTGTTTACGTGTGCATAATGCATATTGTAAAATGGTTTCAAGAATGTAGCCAATGAGAAGCGTCAACACGGATCACGTGATCGTGCATTATTGGTTACTATATGCACGGTACCATCTGCATGTAGTGCATTAGGGATTATAAATATGGATGAAGGTTGCTTAGAGACATTTTATGGCCTTGCTAAGTAAGATTGTCGACCCATTTTATAAAACAAAAAATACACAGGTTTTCGTTCGTGACGTTATGGCGATGCAGCACTATTCGGGTATTCACAATGGCACAAAATACACTCGGCTACGCCTGGTGAATTTTATTGCACCATAGTGAATACCCTCGAACTCACACCTGATTATTATTTGTATACTGTCGTTTCAAAGCGTCACAGTGGAGAGGGAAAAAGGGGGACTGAGGAAGATAAATAAAGGTGGAGAGGATGAGTTAAATAGGATATTGATGTAGAGAGAGAGAGAGAGAGATATTGGAGGTTAGTAGTTCTGAAAAGAAAAGAAAAACCAATATTAAAAACTACTTGATTTTATATGAAAAATGGATGATAAGGAAAAAAGTAAGACAGGAAGTGGGACAAGAACATAGAGAGGCATTTATGCAACATTGTGATTGTATCCACTCACCTAATTGAATTATGAGTTCATCTGCAGCACCTTCCTTCACAATGTCTTCCGCCCCTATACCTCGATTGTCCACAAACGTCAGGTATCGTGTGACCCTCACTGCCATTCGTCGAGTAGTGTGACCACCCTCAAAATCGTCTGGCGCGGCTTGCTCTCGGTGAGTTTCTTTCAACTCACCTTTTACTGCGAATTTCAAAGAGTTCATCAAGGACGTTTTACCTATCCCAGTTGCCCCATACAGACCTATGTTAAGGCGTTTTGGAAATTTAATATCGTCATCAGGAAACTCAAATGATCCGCCAGGTTTAATTTTCTCGATTTCGGCGCGCAGTTCTGCGATATTTTGCATCCTTTTTTTTTCTATTTCAGCTCTTAATTTTTCTTGTCTTTCCTTTTCTTCTCTGATCCTTATTTTCTCTTCTTTTTCCTTTCTCATTCTTTCTTCTATTATTCTTATTTCTTCTTCCTTTTCCTTTCTTAGTTTTATTTCTTCTGCCCTAGCTTGTATGTCTTCCTTATTCTTTCGGTCGATATCCATCTGCTTTAATTGATTCGCAAGTTTTTCTAATTCTCTTTTGTGGCGATCATCTTTCAGCTGTTGTTCCATAGCTTCTCTTTCCCTTTCTTCGCTTGCTTCTCTCTCCCTCTCTTCCCTAGCTTCAGTTTGCTCTCGAGTCCATACTTCTAAAGCTTCTTCCCTCTCTCTTGCATCGCTCCTCATTTGTCTTGCATTGCTCTTCAAATCATTAATTTCAGATGACTGGTCATTCCCCATGTTTGAATTTCACTGCTAAATTCTAAAACTATGAAATTAGTGTGGATATTTCAGCAGGCAACTACTCGTCTGATTATGCTTGCGCTTTGCAGATATTTTTATAGCTTGATATCGTGTTTACTTTTCAATCTCGAATGCGATTGGACAGATTTGTAGCGGGGTGCAAAATAGCCGCCGCACGGTTATTTTTTTCCTCGTTTTCGGAATCAAATTTCGACGGAGACATCAGTCTAGCAGGTTATACCCGAAGGCAACGGACATGGCTGACGAAGCACACATTGGAGTCCTCTCCCTTGGCTGGGAAGAATCGATTGAACGTCACTTGATGTCAACTATTAGGACGTGTAAAACAAAATTGGAATTTATTTCTCTTGCTCCAACTGATCTTAACGTGTATACGGCTCCTAAAAAGTTTGACGCGGTAATCTTATTGCATTCAACTACAGAAGGGAGACTTTCTTTGACAGATGTACCGGATGCCAGATATAAAACATTGCTTCCAACTCTGTCGAAGCAATATGGTAAGAAACGTTTACCCTTTTCATTTCAAATGTCCACATAGTTTAATCGCCAACGTTCTTGACCGTTTCATTGACTGATTGATTGGTTTATTTTATTCATATTCCATGCACAATTATGAAAGCATAATATGTTTTACAAACAAAATTATAATTTCTTGAAGTGATATGAAATTAAATTAACCTGAATAATAGTAATCATAAGGGCAATTCCACGGTAACGGAATTACATTTCAGAGAAATTTAGGCTCTATTTTGATATACTGTAGACATGTGGTTAGACCTGGTGATTATTTATCTTGTTATTCTTTCTGTATTATGCACCTGTTAGCAAATCAAATTTAAAAAAATTATTTGTCAACATTCGGAACACCCCAGGACCATATAGAGTAAGAGGTAACTTGTTTAGAATTGTAGGCATTGGTTCGAGGTGAAAAGGCGGACATCAATGAATTTACAAAGATAATCATTAATAGGAGATAACTATATATTAGTTCGATGTTCATACTGTTAGAGAAAAAACCTTAAAAGGTATTCCTTAAACCATATATGGTGGGTCTCTCTTGCAAATCATTAGAAAGGGAATTCCAAATTGTATAAGTAAGTACTGTTCTCAATTTTGGAAGGTGATAGCAGCCCGCTAGCCTGGCGGGGTAACTGTGTAATTTTGCATTTTGTTAAAATAACTTCCGGTAACTTGTTAGTACTGGCCGAAAACACAACATATCCCCACCCATAAGAAAACACATCCCGTATCTTTAACATTTTGTTTGAGTAATAGAGTAATCGAAAGTCGGAATGACTCATAATATGAATGGCCTTTTTTTCTGAAGATGTAAGATTCTGTCCAATAACGAGCCTGCACAGTTCCCCACGGCTAGAATTCCATAACTCAAATACCAAGGAACAAGACAGAGTGTAAATTCCTTAACATTTGTGTTGAAAAAAGTATTTAACTTAGTGAAGTATACCAATATATATTTATGAAAAATATATTCCACATGTGGTTTTCATGATAACCCCTCATCCGATATTATTCTTAAGAATGTATTAGTAGAAACCCTTTCAATAACAGTGTTATCAAGAAGAAGAATTGCAGGTACATTATTAATAAAATTATTATACAACAAATATTCAGTTTTAAATTAAGTTATGACTTATGTAATTTATACCTGAATAAACACCATCAATAACAACATATTGTTTTCTATTTTGGAGGTAGTCGTAAACTACTCCAATGCCTTTCTTCTTTTTCCATATTCGGAGAATAGGAAATGACGGTTTATCGTATCGAAATTGTTGAAATTTGTATGTTACATCATAAGATTTTTTATTTTAAATAACTGGCTCGCTTGTTGTCTATAATATCCAAATCATATATTTGTGTTTATTTGTTTTATGCTCCTGAAAGAAACAAAATCAATGATATAAATCCTATTATATATCTTTAAGAATGTTTTCTAATACTGTCATCTGATTGGTTGAAAGGGAGGTCGTGTTTTTTAACTATGCCCGCAAAAATGTTATCAAGTCCGGGAAGATAATTATCTTCGTCAAGTCGAGGCGAGACAGATAATATTATATTATATTATATATGCTGCCGTCATGTTTTCAAGTTCTGATTCGTCATGTGGACGGCCATGCATTATGGCTCGAGGCATGGGCACACAGAAGATTTGTTTATGTTGGGAACCGGGGTAAAATGCAATAAAATATTGAAAAATGATTGCATTTTCTTTGTTTTTATTTATTTATGGAAACTGCCCCCTTACCCTAGCCCCCGCTGCGTACAGTCATGGTTCAGTGACAAAGCAATGGCCTCGTAACTGTGAGGCCCCAGGATCAAAACCGTGTCGATGTGCTATATTAGTGCCCTTTTGAGGGGCATTAATCCTCATCACTGTCATTTATGGCTGAAGGGCGTAGGTCCCCTAGTTGATAAGCATAGTAGCATACACATGCTTTGGCAATCACGCAAAACACACATTGTCAAATTATTATTCAATACAATCTGAGAATGTATACTATTATCTAGATCTATTATTTTTAAATTATTGTTTAAATAATTCCATAAATTGGGGTAAAACAAAAATATTCCAACTTTATGAGCGACAGTGTAGTTGTTTCGAGCCACTCCAGGGACTCACATACATATACATCCGGTTTATGGTGCATGCATATACTGTAGCGAGCGCGTTACAAGTATTATGCATTTGTAGTATACATATCCGAAAGCTATTTCTAGATTTCTCTCTTCTACCTGATACTGACTTCCTTAGGATTTCTTACAAGTCCATGGTTGTTCGAAATTGAATACGAAGGGAATCCCTGTGCATGTAATTGATCTTTGTCAAAATGCTGCATACAGAGTATCGATCGTGCAGTGATTTCACACTTGTTTGACCTCAGAGCAACTTTTTCCAGGTCGCAGGCTGTAAGGATTTTTACCCAAGTCAAATCTCTCATTCAGGGATATCTCCGAAGTTTATTTTCGTTTATGTTCACGCGACAGGCGCACAGCATAGAAAGTATCGCACCATATATGCCAACTGACAATTCAGTTAGTAAAAAATAAAAATAAATGCTTACGATATATTATCAAAACAGCCAAAGAGAAAATGAAAGATACCACCATCCAACTTTTGCAACGCGTACATAGACAGCTAGCTCGGTGACTACTGACAAGTCTGGCTGCCAGGCCGTCTCGCGCCGGCAAATACCGCACAAAATAGACCGGAAGCGACGTAGTCACCAAATTTTCCCAGAATGCATTTGAAATGGGGGCATGAAACAAAGATCCCAGCATTTGGAGGTACTAGCGATATGGCGATTGTTATAATCATCTTACTGTGAAAGTCATCAATCCGGGGGATGTCTGAGGACAATTATGCTAGGCATTAATCATCCTCAGTGTGTACCGGTAGTGCTTGGGGTTATTATTAAGCCGATTTGCTGCAACGGAAATCCACATACATGTACGCACATCCGTCCAACTAAAGCAGGAATGTGGTATACTTTTACAATGGTTGGACTTTTAAATACAAGTCTCCACTGTAGGTGTGCGATTGGAGAGGCAGATTTATCGCAGTGTGCGCTGTGTGATCGATGGTGTATTGTTTTATTCATAACGATATCACAGGTAATTTCACGATTATTTCTAGTGGAACCGCTAGCGAAGAGTCTATCTAGACTGTGTGTTAAATTGCTGAACGTGTACTGATGATGAGAATATACTGATGACTTGTTTTCGATAGTAAGTGGTCGTGTGAGTGTGTATGTTAACGATCATAAATTATATAAATATAAATTACCGTTACTTCAAAATATTTATTGGGTGCCTGGGAGGTAGTATGAGGAACACTCATCGCCCGGAGTCACTGCAGTGCATGTGAGTTTCATCCAGACTGAGTCAGTTACTTCGCATAAGATTTCAAAACAGCTCAGTATACATATATTTTTTTTCTTCTTCTGGTAATACCCTTCCACATTGCTTCCACACAGTTTCTTTCACAATTTCATCGCATTACCATTGCTTAACTCTATCTTTAATCACAGCGCCTGATTAATATAATTGCTTTAGATGATGAATACGTAATGCATGGAAATTCATCCGAATGATAAAATCTTAAGCAATCAAAATCGACAGGTCGACGGTATGTTATTAAATGGTTATTATTAAAAGTTAAATTACGGTAAGCGTGTCACTGTATTGCCTTAATTGCCCACGGGCTTCATATGGAAACATTGTAGCATCCGCTCAAATTATGGAAGGCCGTTGGTGACTTTATTCACATGCCCCAGACGTATGGAACGCGGCACACGTCTGCTAAATAACAGGCAGACGTCTGCTAATTGACCAATCACCGCCAATTATTTAGCAGACGTGTGCAAGGTGCGATAGCACACGTCTGCTAGTTTATTAGCACACGTGTGCCCTTTTCCATACGTATGCTGTTTACTGCGCATGCGTATGGAATTGATCGACCAATCAGATGCCTTGTATGTGTGTGTTTGGACAGTGGGTGCATGCAGCGCAGACGATCAAAAATGTGCCGGGCACGTGTTGATCGACGCACGTGGTACTCTTACCGTTCTTAAAAGTATTGACTTTGATTTCTATGTAAGAAAAGAAGTATACATTATAAAAGTACTTCCATTGAGGTTGGAACTTTCTGATGCAAAAAATAGTATGTCAAATTATAAACGAAGTACCGAACTGCTATATAAACGTTTATCCTCCACCTAGTATTGGAGTATGTAAATACTATAAAGCAGGCGCGGATCCAAGGGGGGGGGGGGCGAGCGGGCCTTGCCCCCCCCCCCCCCCCCGCAAAAAAAAAAAAAGGGAGAAGAAAGGAAAAGAAGGGAAAGGGAAAGAGGAGAGAAAGGGAAAGAAAGAAGAGGAAGAAGAAAAGAAACGGGGGAAGAAGGAGATCGGGGGGGGGGGCGAAAGGGCCTTGCCTCCAAAGCTGTTGACCCCCCCCCCCCCCAATCAAAAAAATAAGAGAGAAGGAAGGAAAGGGAAAGAAAAAATGAAAAGATGATATACTGGCGTATAGGTAGGGGGGGGGGGCA